AGTAAAAAAACAATCTCGTTTGTTTCTTTTTGTCGCAATTAAGTTAGTTTATTGGCGTTTACAGTTTTAATTGTAACAATAATTGCGTTAGTTTCAGTTTGACACGCCGAGACCTCCACACATGACAGAATGCCAACGGGCTTTGGGAAGACTATCAGCTAGTGTTCAAGCTATCATGCGAGCAAATGCAGCTCGCTGCCCGATGTATCGAGGTACAAATGTAAGCCGGTATGTTCCAACTGGACAAAGACCATTGCGTTGTCCGGATCGACGGTACGGAATCTGGTGGCCGAGGGATCATCCCTCGAGAGTAGAAAATCGCTTGCAACTGCCTCCAAGTCTTAACATCCCAGACACTAGCAGTTCAAAAACAGTTAAAGTCAATGCTGATAACGCGGAGAATGGGGAAACTAAAGATACAAATGATAAAACCTCCCCAAGAGAACAAGTCAAGGAATCGGAATCGACTACAGACAATACTGTAGAAAAATCGGAAAATGCTAAAGCTAAAGAAAAAATAGTTAACGATGGTCAAGCTCCTTCTACAAGTGCAGCCGCTTTAGATAGTGGATTGAGGAAAAAACGACTTTACAGCACTGTGTTAAGCATGAGTGCGCCGTCCCCTATCACTATAACCCCTTCAGGTTGCGTCAGATTATCACAAAAACTGGTTACGCCGGGACTCATTAAGTTGAACCCTAAAGTTGTTCTACCGACAAGAATACGACCACCTAATGTAGAAGTTAAATTTGAAGAACTCGAAAAGGAGGCATTAGAACAATACAAAGCATCTGATGAGAGCATAGACACGAAATTTCGAGAATTAGAAAAGCAAGCGGTGGAACAATACAGCACGAGCAATAGCAATACAAGTTGCAGTAGTGGCAATTCAACAGAAAAACGCACACCCAGCAATCCAACGATACCAGAGACAACTCAGAAATCTAGAAAGCAAATGTCAAAATTTCATAAAGACGCTTCCGTTGATAGTGTTGTCATATACTCGCAAAATTTTCCCGATCTTAACACCAAAAGTCACACCAACACTTCTATCAATTTAAAAAACTTCCACAACCCCCCGAGGGGGGAAAAAAAGGAAAGCTACAGATCCAATAAGAATTCGCGGAGTTTCAAAGGAGATTGGCAGCGGGCAGCGTCCGATACAGATTACGAAGCTAAACCTAATCATAAGGGAAGTCACAAGGGTCCGTTAAGATGGACCTTACATGTGATGCCACCTAAGAAGAGACATTTAACAGTCTGTGCTTCAGATTTTTCTTCAGATGAAGATATGGAAGAAGCGAGTGGTTCTATCAAAGATGCTGGCCCGTGTATTAAGAACCGAGTTACCGGCAAAGTGAAAATGTCCGCCCATGGCGGAGGAGATTTGAATCCTATCATGAGGAAAGCCTAGGTTAAATAATGTCTTGAATGTTTGATGACAATATGAAATCATAGTCTACTATTTATAATAGAATTATGTGAGGAAACTGTGCTTTAGATTTCGTAAGCGTCTTCCGCCTTTGTAATTTTTGATATGATTTTGTTACGTCGAGTTTTGTGAGATCCAAACGAAAGCAAATGTGTATCGAACTGTGTCGAGGCCAGCCCAAGGCTCTAATTAAACCTGGTGAGGTTGTTTTAGCAATGTGGTCGTTTTACTAGTCATAAATGATTTGTATATACGGTTTTGTATTTTTGCATTTATTAACATATGAGTAAGATAAAGGATTGCAATTCATACAAAGAGATGTATGAAGTTAAAATTCCTTAGGTGTTAACCAAAATAAATTTTTATATGGAATATTAAGTACAGGTTATTATTTCAAGATTAGACTAGCAAAGAAACGATTTTATCTAAAACTAACTTTAATGTAACTTTGGAATATAAAATTATATATATTAATTCTTATATACTATAAAAGCTCTGCCATATCACCATATATTAAAATTATATAATTAAGTCAACTGTCCAAAAACTTTTCTAAATCTGCTTTGTCATCTTCAAGCTGGATTTGTTCAAGGGTAATCTTAGGAGAAGATGGCAACTCTGAAATATTGAAAAAAGTAAAGTTATATTTTGTATCATGGCAACATTACAGATAACCTTGTGAAGTCACCCAAGTTTTTTTAAAGTTAGCATCTCAAGGTCACCTATAGAACAGTTATCATACAGGCTGTAGTGTCACTTTCAGCAAAACAAATTAAAAAAAAGCTAGCACATTTATACTCTGTATTTAATATCTAATGATAGTACAGGTCTGATGATTGTAGTTTCAATAGTAAAATGGCGATTGGTAAAATACTATAGGCAATGGATTTATCAAACCTACTTGTAGGCACACTGCCACTGGAGAGATATTTAGCTATATCTTTCTGGAATTCAATTGCACTATTCTCCCTCTTAGCCTGTAGTTCAGCTAGCTGCCTTCGTTCTCTTTCCATATTCTGTTCAGAGTTCTCTTTAGCCAACTTAGACCGAATATCTTCTAACTCAGCTGAAATGTTTTAAATCATCATTATTAGATATCATAAAACAGCTGCTTTTATTTATTAAAAATGGGTTCAACGGGTTAAAATTAAAATTTCATATCTGCCCACGGGTGTTGCCAGCCATTGGTGTAAAGGACCCCTTGCCCTCATCTGGCGATGTTTTTCTTTACCTAAATCTATTATAATATTTAGGACAGTATAATCAAAATATTAAACAGGAATCAGTAAAATCATTATTTGTAACAAGCAAAGCTTCTTACCCATTTTTTTCTCTTTATAAAGAGTTAATTGGTAGTGATGATCTAATTTCCATTTCTCCATTTTCCTTCTCTCGATCATATCTTCAAACTCTACCATTTGTTGTTCAACATCTTGTAATAGTGTTTTAATGTTTCTCAAACCGTCTGCACATTGGGCGACGGAAGCAGTTACTGCTGGTAATTGAGATAAAGCTTGAGAAAAATCTTTATAACATTTTACACGTGTATTAGTTATAACATGCAGTTCTTTAATAAGTTTATCAACTTCATCAGCTGCTTTTGCATTTTGCTCCGCGTTCGCGTGAATATCGACCCAATCGTTTTGATACTTTTCCAAAATCTCTCCTCCAGCACCGTAATTAACTTTACTTTCAGTATTAACTTTTTGTTTATCTTTAAAAATATTGGTCACTTTATGAACTTCTTGTAAAGTCTGTCGTAAATTGTTATGCGAACTTAAGCCATCTTGTACAACAGAAATGAAATCTTTAAGGTTTCCTAACATTGTTTTAACTTTTCAATAAGGCATTTTCCAACAAATAAAATAAATCCTATTTGTAAATTCAATTAACAGCGACAGCAATAGGAGAAATCGAGAAATGTCAGTCACATGCCACCTGTCACTGTCAGAATGTAATTGTTGATGTCATTATTCTATAATTGTGACGTCTTCATTTTTCTGGAAAAGATCAGACGAAAATTATTTAAAGCTTGTTTGTGTGAAGCGTTGGAAAAACACATTTAATTCTAAGTTTTTAAATACCTACCAGTTATGCAATTGTTATGTTTCTGCTAGAAACGAAATTTGCAGTATTGCAGAGAAATTAACGATTTTACAAGAAGTTGATAAAAAGTGCAACACTTGTTGTCTTTGGAATTTTGATGTCAGTTGAATTGTCTATTGTATTTAAAACTTTTGTTGTGAAGATTTATTAACTGACAAAGTTCTTTAATTTTACAATATTTGAACTATTTTAATTAATATAAAATGAGTGAAGAGAAGCTGTGTAGCGATGAAGTGCCTCAAAAATTTACTGAATGGATGTTGGCTATGGGATGTCCAACAGAGTTGCTTAGTTCAGAAAAAATTGCTTTGTAAGTACTGTTAGATCTTTGTAAGAGAAGAAATGATACTAAAGATACATGTTTAAAGTAATAATTTAATTTCAGAATATGCAGAGGCCAATATTACATGGTGTGGCGAAGTTTAATGGAACATGTTTTTCCTAAAAATACAATTAAAGACAAGAGATTACAAGTATTCTTCAATGATATAAATATGTGTAAAAAGAACAACGCATTTAATCAGGTTCGTACTATATTTAACAGTATAAAATTTTTATTCCAACTGGTTTTATATAGTACATTTTTAATTGCTTGGTACTATTAAATATTCTAGGTAGTACAGTTCAACTGACAGTTTATAAAAATGACTACACATACAGCCTTACAAATATACGCGGTATAAAGTTTAACTTAGGAATAAACTGAGTATAAGCAAATGTTAGTAAAATTTTGTTTATACTCAGTTTATTTCTAAGATTAACTTTATACTGCATTCATTTGTAAGGCTAATAAGTTTTAACTCTGCAATTTGACTGTGTGACCCTTAACTTAGTGTCCAGTACGACAAACAATTAATTTAAAAAATCTACTGATAGCTCAGCAAACTAGCGTTTATAGAAAATTACGAGATTTTGATTTTAGTGTGTTGGTAACATATAATTTTTTTTTTCTACGAAAAACTGGAATTAAGGGTAATAATTAAAGACTTGTAGCACCAATGCAGTTTTTTTTCTTACAACAACAATGAATCTATTAATATTAAAAGGTATTATACAAATTCTTAATCATGCCTTTCAGCAAAACTCAAAAGTAGTGGTACCAGAGCAACTATCAGTCTGGCGACAACACAAGGCCTTGCAGAACAATGTGTGTGATGCAGAAAACAGATTGAAGCAATCAGAAGAAATGTTGCAACAACTAATGGATAAAATTGAAACAAGAAGTATGATATTTTGAATATCTGAACATCTAATAGTGTTAAAACCATTCACATTTTTATAGAGATTTTGACTTTAATAGTTTTTGTACTATGGGTATTGTTACCCAATGATCTAGGAAAGACCTAGGTGTGCATGTTCCATTAATATGGCCTTGTTTATGTTTAAATTTTCTAGAGAGAGTCTGCTGCCTTTCCCAACCCCTTTGTTGTGTAGACATCCTTGACTATTGCAGGTTTCCACTGCTCTAATATTGTACAAAATTATATTTTACCTTATTTCCCATTCTCCCTAACCATATCCATTCTCTTAAAAAAAACTTGAATATAAAACTTTTTTAATATGGACAAAAATTAATTTTACCAAAATGAAGTAAACTTGATGTAATTAACATATCTTACTGACAATAATCTTAGTAATATCATAAATTCAAAAGTCTAGATGGATGGATGGATGGATGGATGGATGTTAAAGTTTGTAGCTTAAATGCCTGAACTCATATTGAATAAAATTGGAATACATATTTTTTAATTCCTCATGATTGTAGTCTTGGGAAAAAGCTAGTATTAAATATTGCTCTATTCACTTAAGGGTTGTTTTATTTTCAGTGTCACAGCGTAATATATCTTTTCAAAAGATACAAGATCTCCAGCGCAGAGTGTCGCTGCTTCAGCGTGTTATTGAGGAGTTGAAATCTAAGAAGGACAATTTTGAAGAAACCGCAACTATTGCTAATTCTTTGTGCCATGTTAAAGATGATGGTGATATTCAGGTTGGTGGATAGTGTATTTACTTTTATATGTTGTGCATAACAATGTATTGAAAGGCCTATCCCTATGATTTATTTGTCTGTAAGTAATATGTCATGTTGGTAGCACTGAATATGTTCAAATCTGCTCAAAATTGATTTATAGACATACTAGCTGTTGCCAGTGAATCCGTCCAAGAGAAATTTATCATAAATAGCCAACGTCTTTTTCCCGACTTTCCTCTACATGTATGCCAAATTTCATCAATATCCATTCAGCCGTTTAGGATATACTTTGTGACAAACATCCATCCATCCATGCATACACTTTTATAATATAAGTAAGAGGTAGGTTTGTTTTACCAATTTTCAATAGTTTTATCAGATAGTAATAGTAAGGGCCTGTCCTGACAAATTGTAAATTGTCTGATAACAATCCAATGTGTAAAATATGTTATGGAAATATCGGGTTTATCTGACAGTGGCATCAATTTTAAGCTATCTGAGCCACTATCAGCCAATAGTTGGACAGGCCCTAAGGCTTATAAAACCTTGGATGCTTGCCTGATTAGAATAAGCATATTTTTTGTACTTGTTTCCATTGTCTTGATACTCCTTTTTCCATGTATTTCTAGACTAAGGTAGATAGGTGTGTAGCAGTGATGCAGCGGCGCGGCTCGCAGGTGTCCACTGCTGCCTCCCTCTCCCTCGCCTCTATCGCAAACCCCGCAGCCTGCTCCTCCGCCATGTCCACTCAAAGTGAATTCAACGATAATGGTCAGTTATTACAGTATTGCAACAAGTCATCACGATATATCACAAGTGTAAAATGTAAATAGTATATTTTACAAAGAAAAATATTGTGCATAGCTCCAGTGAAGTGATTATCAAGTAAATTTTTAATAAATATTGCGAAATTTGTACTCAGTGTTATGGAAACTCATGCAGACGAAGCCAAACAGCTAGTAATGTAGAATGTTAGCAATCAGCACATACGTCACGCCATAGGCGTATTTTCACCCTAATTTATTCAGCAGTTGAATAAATTGAAAATATTCAATGCGAGAAAGGGACAAACTACAAGCCAATAGTGGCAAAGAAGCAAGATTGTTAGCCAATGGTAAAGGTCTTTATTGTCATTTGTGCATTTAAATTTTGACATCTTCATATGTGAACATTAAAATAGTAGTCTTTTTTTATAAGCTAAGGGTCTGTTTCCACTGTGTTACCAGAAGACGAGGTGTCATCTCTGCTGTACTGCGGCGCGGCGGCGTGGGCGCAGCTGCGGGAGCGCCGCGCAGCACTAGCTAATGCTATTGCTGCAGCTAAACTTGAAAATAGGAGTAATGATCGCGATATACGGTAAATAATTTAACTGATTCATATAAATTATTACAGTTAAGGGAATCAAACAAATGTCATAAAAATTTAAGATTCTGTACATCCATACATATAATATAATTGGAGTATCTGTATATTGAACGAAATTTCAAATTTCGCGAAGATGTATTTGTGTTACTAATAACAAAAATTGTCTGTCTGTCGTGTTAAGCCGCGTTTGTTCCGGGTAATCTCAGAAACGGTCGATTTTGAAACTTTAATGGATATTATAGACTACCTTTTTTATTTTCACACTAACGAAGTTTGTGTGCAACAGCTCATGATATATAAAAATCTGTATATACAAAAATTGTTATTTTTAAGTAAATTTATGAATTACAGTATAACCCCTCAGTCGGTGATCACGCACTCGGCCAGCCTGCATTGCACCCTCGCCCTCGAGCTCATGAAGAATAGACTACACATCGATCATATACAAGCTAGATTAACTAACGCCGTCACACAGTTAAATGTATGTATATGTCGGCTTGAGCTAACACGATATCAGAATTACTACTACTCGAGATCACATGTGGGTGGTCATGGGTAAAGACGGATTCCAGGAATATATATTTTTTTTATAACATAAGGTGGCAAACGAGCAAACGGCCACCTGAAACCACCAAAATGGTGAAGCGACCGCTGCCCATAGACATCCGCAATTGCAGATGCGTTGCCTACCCTTATACGACGGAGTAGGAGGCGCACATAAAGAGGATATTTCCCCTTCCTATGCATCTCCTCCACCGTCAAATCCACTTCCTCTTCCCAACCTCTCCTTAAAAGAAAAGGGTGGTAAAGAGAAATGGACTTAAATTAGTCCTCTGGCATCACACTTATCAGACGAAACACGGAATTGCTTCCATTTGACAGCTGTCTTCTGTGTGGTCGTGGTATTACTGGGGGCGAGCCGGCCCTGCACTGCTAACATGTTAAAGCGGACACTACCACTGTTAAATTTACTCCTCAGTCAGGATATAATCGATCTACCAAGCTCATATCGTTCAAACAATGTTCTTGCAACAATCCCTATTTTCAGTATAATCTAAGTTCTCACGAAAGTCGCTTGGCGGCGCTCGTGTTCTAATTATGACTTAAATTCAAATTGATTTCTTCTGATTGCGATATATATTTTAATTATATAGTGTGTAAGATGACATTTATTGAATTGATTTTTTTTAAATGCAGTCAACTGGTGTAAGGAAACGAAATCTTCCTCTCCATCTACCTTTCTCTCTTTTTTTCCATATTACTAAGTTAATTCCTCCTATCAATCTTTC